GAACTGTATTGATAGTTGTGGTGCCAGACAATAAAAGTAATAAAAATGTTGAGGTCACTGTGGTGACTTTAACATTTTTATCACTTTTATTGTCTGTTTTGCTGCTATTCTCTAAAAAAATTTTGTGCTTTTTCCCTTTTTCCTGAATTAATATTGCTTCTTTTATTTCATCATATTTTTTATATTCGATCAAATGTAGGCCTTTGTAACATAGGTCTACGAAAATTTGCAAAAAAATTACCCAGCTGCTCAGCACGAATAAAAGAATATCTTTCCCGCAGTTGACAGTTCAGCATTTTTATAAATACTCTTGTTGGTTTGTGTTTGTGATGTTGCTAAAAAAGAAGCTTTTGGTGCAAGGAATGTAATTTAAGTATCTCATCTTGGATTGTTGGTCTTTTATTGACTGATAAGGTTACTCAAAAAAAATTTTTCAAGAAATATGTTTGATTGATTATCTGAAGAACATGACCTTTCAAACTTGTTATTGGTTTTTTCAAGTGTTTTGATTGCATCTTTGCCTTTAAGGTGGTTGTACATGGAACAATCAATTTTCTAGGCTTAATTCTAAGTTCTTCGCAAGTATCTTGAAGTTGGTTGTAGAGAAAATACTTTTATGTGTGTATGATTCTAAATCTGTACAATTTTTTTATTGCTTTAGAATTTTCAATTGAATTTTTTATTGCTTTAAGACTAACTAGCTGGGTTGTGTGATTATTGCAGCACACTTCTGAATTAATTGTATCACTTTCTTTAGCAGCTAAAACAATGTTCTTGTCATTGTCGCTAATGCAGGTTCAATAGACTTCTATATTTAAGTTTTTGTTTTTTTGTTTTTGTTTAAACATCTTCGCTTCCAACAAGGCTGAAAGCAACCACTAATTAGTGTTGGGAGTTACTGGAAAAGAAAAGATGAAGATTGTAGAGCAAGATAACGATTGACAGACAACTTAAAAGATTGCAAATTATATGAATCAGGAAAGCAAGATAAAGGAATCGAATTCCAAAGAACTGATGTTCAAGGGAAAAAACTAGATGAATAAGAGTTTTTGGAGCACTTAGGAACAGTAACAGAAAAAGGATGACACTTAATTGAATGACGAGTAACAAAAGAATGAATTTTAGTAAATGGCACAAGAGACGCTAGCTCTTTAGAGCAGTGCCGATTACCTTAAGTTAAATTAGCAATAAAACTGTCTAGGTTTACTGCAGTCACTACCCTAGTGTGTTTACCAGTAAACAGTGCACAAGCGATCAGAAAATTTACTAAATTAAAGTCTGAACTAATGTAGTGAATTGTAAGACTAACTCCAGCTACTTCTGAAAAATTATTGAAAAATTTTATTTGTAACCCCTCCTTTACCTTTTCATACAACAGAAATTTTTGATGCCTAAAGGTTGATACATAGTTGACAGTAAATTTGCTATTTACTTCATCAATAAATTCTTAAGCTCCTTCATTGTTCAAAGACTATTAGTGTAAATAATACTTAAATTTAATAATATTGTAATAAAAATGTCTCTAAGCATCATATATTGACCTTAGAGATTATCTAAACTAATGAGGCAATTAGCCTGCTTTGTAAATAGATAATTAAAAAAGTAAAAAACATCTATAATATCTCTCTGGGGAAATATTATATGGTATATATAATCATCTAAAATTTATATAAAAAGTAGCGTTTTAGTATAATATCGATTAGCATAAAATCAAAATATAAGATGCTAAAATATTTACGTATTAGTATTGAGTTTTAAAACGACCTCACTTTTTTACGAACATTCATTATCCAAAATTTTAAAAGTAGACCAAGCTTACAAACAAATTTTTTTAAATCCAAGTGAGACTTTAATTGCTTTGGATCATTTAATCCATATTTTTGGTTTTTTATAATGCAACTTTCAATTACAGTTGTTTTTGTCTCTATTTTTTTAACAAGTTTTTTATTTATTAACGCTTCATGTTTAGTTTTGACATGGCTTGTTACTGTTGAAGTACTGCCAGTTTATTTTGTAAGATTTAAAGCAAATTTTACACTTGGCTTCAAATTTACTTGACTTTTCAAATAATTTCCAAATATCACTTTTTTTCTACATCTTTAAGTGAATAAAATAAAAATGGCTAGTTAGACAACCAAATCGTATAACAAACATAAATAAACAACATAATTTTGAACGAGTATAATAGTAGATAATTGTTCAACATAAATAAATTTAATTTAATAATTTTTTAAACTCTATAAAAAGTCTTTTAGTTATTTTTTAGAACATTATAAGTTAGAATGCAAATATTAAACTATTTTACGTCTTGCACGCTCCTACAGACATTAATAATATTTAAACAACAAAATAATTTGATTATATTTTATTATTTATTTGCTTATTAGGATACAATGAGATTTCAAAATTCTATATTGGTTTTTAAAAAGGTTTTCGGTTACGGTTCGGTTTATTTTTTATTTTAAATAATTTAGTCAGTTTGCTTTGATTTGCTTTTTTTGTTTCGGTTTTCACCGAAAGAATGGTTCGGTTTGGTTAACAGTACGGCCTTATTCGTAGCTATAAAAAAATTAAATCAAAACATATAATTAAAAAATTAAAACACATTAGTAATTTAGTAACGAAAAAAAAACCATTTGCTGCAACTTATCTAATATGTTTTTTGAACTTCCAAATTGATCCTACCATAAAAACTCAAACTCTAGTAGATTTATTTAATCCAGTACATATATTATAAAAAGAAAATTTAAAGCTTCACTAAAAAATAACATACCATTCTTCTTTGAGCTTGCTTCAAAAGACTCCTAAGTGATTGATTACTTTCTTCAAGTTCTGCTAATTTCTCTAAAAGTGCGTTTCGCTGTTGAGATATTCCATAATAATCTGTTGATGAGTTTTTTTGATCCTTAAAAAATTAAAGTACACATAAATCATCCATGGTTAAAAATCCGAAAATATCAGATACCTAAATGGTGATATTTTTTTATTTTCATTAAACCACAAAAACCATGCAATCCTTTATAAAATTACTGTTGTCCATGCAATCTTCCATAAAAAATATTTTATAAAATCATTTATGCCCATGCAATCTTCTATAAAAAAAATTGTATATAATCAATTATGCCCATGCAATATTTTATAAAATTTCTTTTAGAAAATTACTTGTGACCATGCTATCTTTTTTTAAAAGTTCTTTTAAAATATCACCTACGTCATGCTAAATTACACAATGTTTCATTACTAAAAAAATTTCCAGTATACCAAGATAATCAACTAGGAATAGTTTTGAAACTTTTTATTACGCTCTGTTTTTTTAATGGATAGTTTTGTCATTTTTTTGAATATTTTGTGCTATTTTAGATTTTTTTAATTACTATTGCATTTTTTTGGTAGAAATGATTGATAATAATATAACAAAGCTATAAACAACAAACTATTGAGTTTCAAAAAAAAAACTGAATAAGAAACAGTGATTTGAATTTATTCAGATTTCGGCCTTTTTATCTCGGGTTTTGATGAAATTTACTCTAAATATAATTTATTTATAGTTTGCTTGACAAATGTTGCTTTGACAATTAGGGAGTCCAGGGGGAAAAAATGCCACATTTTATTAGTTCTGAAATATTTAAACAATGAATATTCGCGCTTTTTAACTGAAATGTAGCAAAAAGGTTTTATTATAATCTCAAATTAAAAGTTTGTGCTTAATTCATTTAAAAAACCTCTATGGTGAACACACCATTCATTAAGCAAACCAAATATTATTATAGAAAAAAAGAAGCAGAGCCATAAGCCTAGTATTAGGTCTAAAAACAGAAATAAGATGGCAAAGTAACAAAAAAGCTGATTTTTTTGTTTAAAAACTATTCTTTTGTCATTTATAAAAAGTTTTTTTGTTATTATCTTGATAAATAATTTGTTTTCATAAGTCTAATTAATTCTAAACTTATTTTCTGAGGTTTATTTAAAAAATGAACACAACTTGTCTTGGCACAAAGGATCCCTTTAAGTACAAATCTTTAAACTTAGCAATTTATATACATAGTGTCACAGCATACAAGTTCTCTTGTATGCTGACTCTGAGGAGAAATTTATTATTTATGTATACCTTTATCAAGTTATTTTAATTTTTAAAACAAATCATTGGATTCTAAGATCATGTGACAAGAGATATTTCAAGACTATGCCTTTTTTTGTATTGTAAAGTGTGAACTATGCTGTTTTTTAATTGTACTTGGTATTTTCTTTTTAACTTTTCAAATAGTAAGAAATATTTTTTTATCTTGAATTATTATTCAAAATATAATTTAAAAGATTTCAAATCTCATAAATTAGTATTTGGTCATAGTACCTTTTGCAGCAAGGACACCTCTCTTTGGCATATCTATCAACAAATGTTTGTAATAACAATTGTTCTAAGCTATTCCATGCCTCATGAATGTAAATGAAAAGATAAGCTTTATCATCACACATTTATTTTTTTAACTTTATCATAGAGTATTGACCATAGGTTTTCAACTGGATTTAGGTCAAATGATTGACTCAACCACCAGTCCAAGGCAAGCATGTTTTTTCAACATATGCTTTGTTATGTTTTGCCATGTGCTTAGAACAATTACCTTGTTAAAACAATATTTAATGGTAATAAATATATTATCATAGAATTGATCCATATTGCCGATAATATAATGAACTTTTCCTGAACCATGCTAAGTAATGCATCCTTCTTTTAATGCTTAACAATGAACACTCAGAATGATACCTTTCATTACTATGCCTCCAAAGAATCTTCAAGCGCATCTTAAAAAATGTGGCATTTTTAAGGGCAGCTTTGACAATGCATTTATTTTCTCTTTTTGTAGTTTTTCCATTATCAATGTTACTTGCAATACCTCTAAGTCATTCCAAATAATGATATCTCAACACCATTTTTATCTATATTAAATGTTTATATCTAATCTAAGAAGTAATAAATTAGCATATTGCATCATTAATGAATAAATATAAGATTTTAAATATATACAGGGTTAAGGTTGTATATACTCGGGTTGATATCAGGTTGTATATAATTGTATAAGGACAATGTTATATTAACCCTGTCTATATACAGTTTATATTTCTACTTTATTAAAAAAACTCAAAATATTTTTTGAGTTATTGCACCATAATTATGACATAAATCTAAATACAAAATAATTGAGAAAAGAAGAATAGAATAAACTTAGATTCAATACAAAATTCATGTTTAATAGAAAAAATACAATAAATAAAAACTAAAATAACCAATAAATATTCAAAAAGCGAATATATGTATATATATATATATATATATATATATATATATATATATATATATATATATATATATATATATATATATATATATATATAATTTTCTTACAACAATAAATAGAAATGCCATAAATATTATATACTTGAGAAAAATATATTTAAATCAAATTTATCACATTTATGCTATTTCCATTTATTATTATACTTTATCAATTTATATTTTTAAGAATAGCAATTTAAAACATGATGAAACATGAAAACAATACTTTTTTTAGTTTCTTGCAAGCATCTCTCCATTTTAAAGCTTCTAAAGCTGCCTCCTGACCTTCATTTTCAACTTGTCTAAGTTTTTTTAGTAACGCTTTCTTTTCCTCATTTAACAAATCTGCTTCATTTCTAAAGATAATCAAAATTTACACAAAGCCTTTAGTTTTTTGTTAAGAATATTATTTACAATTGTTAACCTTATAATCAATGCAAAAATAAGAGTTGTTATAAACAATAATCACAGCTATTAAAACAACAAAAAGAATATTTATTTAATTTTAAGTATTAATGCAATTTTAATTACAACTTTAGTATAAAATAAAACATAAATTAAAACATACAATTAAAATTATTAATAATTTGAATAATTACTTTGATAACTCAACTTCTTTGCTGAGGAGTTCAAGAGATCGTCGAGCTTTTGCAAAATCATGAGTGGTTAAATTTAAATCTTTTTTGTAAGCCTTAAAGACAGTAATAAAGTAGCATTTTAAAGTTCAATATTCAGGTTTTATGTATCACAAAATTTAAAAATTTACTTTAATTTCTTCTTCCTGGTCTTCTATTAATCTCCTCGATGCATTCAACTGTTCTCCGGTTTTTATTTCATCAAAAGATACCTATATAAACAAAAATATATAAAATAAATTAAAAAAACAAAAAAAACAATAAACTTTATTAAGCATAAGATATAGAGTAACTTTTTTTACAATTTATGAACTGTTTGATTTAGTATACATATATTTAACTTGTACTGCATAAAATTTTACAAAGAGATAAATTAATCATACATCCGCAAGCAATCGATTAATTCTCATATCATATTGGTGTTTTGATTCAATTTCATCCTACATTTAAAACATACAATACATTATCTTATGATGTAATAACTATAAATTCAATACAATATTTTATATTGTATTTTTATTTTTTATATATTGTAACTTAAATATGAATTTTAATTATTAAAATAAAAAGTAAAAAAAAAAATCATAATTAGAGTATTTAATAGTTCATATGTAACTTTCCTAAGAAAAATGTTTAAAAGCAATTTTTGTTTAAAAACTATTCTTTTGTCATTTATGAAAAGTTCAACACATCAAACAATTAAATAATTTTGTTTATTACAATTTAAGTTAAATTACAAACATAATTTGAAATAACTTGTAATCCTCTTGCTTTGAGTTTTTTAGTGCAAATTTTTGAAAGTTTTTGTCAATACCATTTTTTTAATAGTTTACTTTTAAACGCAATATGTTTTAACATAACCCTTTATAAAACTTTGAAAATATTCTATTTGATTTTGTTCATGAATGTTTAACTAGGAATACATGCATTAACTTTTGAAATTATTAACCTTAACTTAACTTAACTTAAGGCAACACAAAATCATTCTCATCAATGATAATTTTGCTTCTTTCCATATCTTTTAGAGTCACACTACACATCCTTCTGATCATTATCTTTATTTTTACAAGACATTTGACATCATCAACTTTCATTACCTTTTATGTTTCACTGCCATACTTAGGATGCATCTGTTCAAAAACATTTAACTTTCAATGATGAGCATTAAAAAATGTAATTTTAGAGATTTCAAGAAAGAGATTTATAAATATTAAGAAACAAATAGTGGTAGAAAAATAGTGCATTGGTAAATATTATTATCTGAAAGATATGATTGAATCAGTTGGTGGATCAGATGAGTCATCAAAACTGGTGAATCAGATGAGTCATCAAAACCGGTGACCAGGTGAGTCATCAAAACCGGTGAATTAAATGAGTCATCAAAACTGGTAAACCAGATGAGTCATCAAAACTGGTGGATCAGATGAGTCATCAAAGACAAGAGTATGGTGTGACTGAGCCAAAATCAGATAATTTTTTCTACTTCTAACAGCAAGAGGTGCAAAACCAACAATATTAGGAGCACCTTTTATACCCCTGCATCTCTTGTGAAACGATTGCACATAAAATGTATTAACTATATAGTTTCCTTGAACTCCATTCCCACATACTCCGCATGGCTGCTTTACAGTATTTTCTATTTGCTCATTTTTGACAATGCATAACATTGGTTAAGCCACATAAATTTAAATTATTTTTATTGAAAAACAAGCTATTTTTTTGCTTCCTTTTTTTTTGCAATAATTTTTTCCAAATCTTTATTACCTGGTCAAGCTATTTTATTTGATTGTATGAACCACATTATAGTGCAGCTGCCACTTTTACAAATCTTTACCATCCAACTTTTCCTTTGATCATTTGAGATATTAATTTCATAAAGGATAGTATTGCAAAGATTTAAGACCACCCAACACCCACGTTCCTTGAAGTCTCTAAATCTCAACTAATACACAAAGATCAGCAGTTTTGCCTAACAGAGCCCTTTAAACAGTTGATTTCACTTCAATACAGGTTTGTAAATCTCCTGATACACTAGTCTTATTCACTGCAGATAAATCTTTATTCTAGTTAAAACTTTTATTTGACAAATTTTCAAAATGAGCAATCCACCTTATTTTTACCATAAGCCTGTTTTTCTTTAGTATTTGCTTTAACATTCAGAACAATTCATCTTTTTTCCTCTGAACCTAGCATCTCAGCCATGAGATACTAGGTTCAGAGAGGGTTGTAACCACAATTCAAAAAAAAAAAAAAAGGTTCCTTCTCAATTGCAGTGGCCTCCTAGGCCTTTGGGAAGTGTATTACATTAAAAAAAAACAAATTAATAATACTGACAAAAAGAACTTTGGCTTTAAAAGAGTAGACTATAAAATGGCTGCAAAACAAAATAAAAATTTGAAATAAAAATAAGTTAAAAAAAAACAATAAACACGGTAAATCTTCAATCAACCAAATTTATAAAGATGATCAAGATTATTAAATTAATTAATGAGTTTTAAATTGCAATTTACTGCTAACTGAAAAACTAAATGTTTTAGAGAAAGTTAAAATTACACCTTCTACCTCGGTATCGTAAGCTAGTGTCGTTAAAGGAAGTACAACACTCAAGAAATCAACTGAACAACTACATTTAATGAATGCAGTTGTTGCCAATGCAAAAGAAAGAAAAAAAAAACTGTATGTATCGCTGTAGTGTTATTAAAGTATCAAAAGCTTTCAGCTAACGCAAACGTTGAAATTAAACAAAGAATAAAGTTTAAATCAAAATCTAACAAAGAACTTTTGTTATTGTTCTTGACAACAAAAAGTATAGAAATTCTATGGTAAATACATAATAAAGTGTTTATCAATCGTGCTTTAACAGTAGCTAAACAATAGAAAGTTGTTACACAAAGAGTGTAAACAAAAAAATTTGAAAAATTCAGAATTTTAAGTTTGAAATTTTTGAAATTTAAGTTTTTTAAATTTAAATATTTTTTTTCATTATTGCATATGAAATAAAAAATTGCAAAAATCCACAAATAGCAACAATTACATGAACCTAAAACATTTCAGCCGTGATTCATTAACTTCTTCAAAATTTGCTATTTAATTCGTTGTTTAGCAGCCAAGAATTGATTAATAACTCAATTAAACTAATACCTGCAAACAAAGTCTAATATTTCAAAACAACAAAAGTATTTTAAAAAGTATTTCTAAGCTTATTAAATTAAATAAGAAAACTAATTACTTAACCCTAAACTCATTTAACAGTTTTTTAGTTCATCCTTTTAACACAAAAAAAGTCTTGCAAAAAATCTGCCTTAATTTGCATTTGTGAGACTTTTTTTTAAAACAAATTTTGAACTCCTTATTTTGTCTGGAAAATTACTCGATTTTTCATAAAGAACCCAAATACAAATTGACGGTGGTGTAGCCATATACTGCAGAAATGACACTATATACAACCAAATATTTATCTCTCAAAGTGACATGGATATCAACATTATTTGGACTTAATTAATTTTTAGATCTAGTAAACTCCATTTAATTACTTGTTACTGCCCACCATCCTATATATATATATATATCTTATATATACATCATATATATACATCATATATATACATATATACATATATATATATATATATATATATATATATATATATATATATATATATATATATATATATATATATATATATATATATATATATATATATATATATATATATATATATATATATATATATATATACAGGGCTCGAAATAATGACCTTTTTAATACCGGACAATTTGTCCGATAAAGACTCAAGTTTGCCAGACACGCCTGATAAAAATTTAAAAATTACGATTGAACGCCATTCCTGACCACGCATAAAATATTTTGTTTTTACAACTTGACCATGCAAATTGTTTAGACAACTCTAGGCGTTTTAAAATGTGCTGAAAATAAAAAGAAAACCTGTATTATATAACAAAAATAAAAATTTTAAAAAAAACTCAAAAAACTAAAAATTGAAAAGGAAAATATATTTATATTACATTTTTT